AAATGTCTGGTAGATGAGTCCATAGCATCAGGCATCGTTTGAGTGGTGGCCTGGCTCCTGGAGGGGGTGTTACCAGCATTGGGAACTGAGGTAGAGACCTGAGCCACCTGGACCCACTCAGCCTGGTCCCATCTTACATCTCATCTATCCGTACAAATGCCTTCAGCCAAGCACTGAGCGGAAGAGTGGGAGAACCCGACTCAGAGTCATCTCTCCTGGCCAGTCCCCTCCAAACTCAGGGTCCTCCACTCACAACAAGGGCACCATGTATGATTTAGCAATAAAAAAAATACATCTTGCAACACCAAACATCCATATTTATTAAATTACTACATGCTTAGATATATCCAATCTATACATTAAATATTAAATATCTCCTGCTGTAGGCGAGAATAATTTGAGATAGATGTTCTAATGCTTTCTCACACACAGTGGAGGCCTCCCTCCAGCAGAAGAATCACATCTCTGCAAGGGCACCTCCTCTTCGCCTGAGCCCAGGGGTGGGACTGGAGGTCATAGAGTCGGTTGTCCAACCTCTAAAAAAGAGCTGAGGACCCTGAAACAGTCTGAAGTGTGGCGTTCGGTCCGGGAAGTTGATGACAGATTGTGTCCTGTGTCACAAATTGTGCCAAGTTCTGGTTGGCCTGCCTTTTCTAGAAGTGGGGAAGGCAACGGGGAACCCACAGCCGCTCACAGCCAGTGCGGGCACGCCTATGCCCTCCTCTTGGTGGTATCATAGGGTTACTCTAATCCCACAAGAGAGGCCCTTAAAAGAGGCCTGGCTAAGCCTCCTGGGGTATGTTTCCTGGCGCTGAGGTGGCAAATGTCCAAGTTGGAAGGAACACCCTCACCCATGGCCTGGATTCATAGTTTGATTTACAGGCTCCGAGTGGCTGCAGCCCTCCAGGACATCTCAAGGCAGATGGGAAAGGCTGGGTTATAACTCACTGTACCCTGTTCTTTTCTGACTGCTAGCCTGCCACTGTTTCCCAAAGGCACATGACCCCCTCAAGAGCCACTCAGTGGAGCACCAAAGTTAGGAACCTCAGGTCACAGTGAAAATGTCATGATACTGGTTAAGGGACATAGCAGGAAAGACCATGGATGCTCATATACTATGTACCCAAGACTCCTCTGGAGCAGGGTCATCGTCCTTTCCAGACATGGAGGGTCAGCTTGACAAAGTCTGGCAGGGCACAAAGAGCAGCTGAAACCCTGCAGGACCCTAAGGAATCTCCCAGACATCAGCTCTGCTCTCCTTGGCCCACCATACAAGCAGCCACAAAGCCATGGCCACTGGCTCCACTAAATTTGCCTAGACTGTCCTGTTCTCAGTTCCCAGGTAGCCTCAGAGCTGATGTCCATGGCCCCAGGGGGTACTAAGTAGGCTTAGCCTGCTTGACATGCTGGAGCAGGGGGTGCTGGATCGTGGGGAGATGCTGACACCCTCCAATAACCTGACCTCAGTATAAAATCCTGCCACCAAGTATGTCCAGGGCCCCAGCTTTCCTCCTGGAAATAACTATCTGAGGCCTATACTCTTCCCTTTAAAATTGAATATCCAAGACCTGTTTCACCTCTACCTACCTCTCTCAGGCTTAACCCCAATCCTGGGCCTCCGAACACTTTGTTTACTACTAACACCTTGGATCCTTTAGGGTCCTGGTTCATACTTTAGCTGGGATCCCAGTTCTCACTGGCCTTTGTCAAGGCTGTGTCACCCACCTCAGTCCTTAAAAAATCAAGTAGCCTAGAGATCAGGGCACCAGATGACCCTTCAATCAGCAGAAAGTCTCTGAGGGAAAGGGAAATAGAGGAACTAGAAACCTGCCAAATATTTGGAACCCTGTGGCAGCCCGGGCTGACATTCAGATGGCAGCTCAGTATCCCAGCCAAGAGTACATGGTCTTTGCAAGCCCAGTCAACCGATCTCAAGAACATCTGGCCCAGAGATGCCACCCTCTCTGAATCCATCTTCTTCCAACCATTCAAAAGACACACCATCCCAAGCCAGTG